GTGACAACAGTGACAACGGTGACAACAGTGACAACAGTGACAACGGTGATAACAGTGACAACGGTGACAACAGTGACAAGTGTGACAACGGTGACAACAATGACTACGGTGATAACGGTGACAACAGTGACAATAGTGACAACAGTGACAGCAGTGACAATAATAGTAGTGACAACGGTGACAACGGTGACAACAGTGACAACAGTGACAACGGTGACAACGGTGACAACAGTGACAGGGACAAGGATGACAAAAGGTACAATGGTGACAACAGTAAGAACGGTGACAACAGTGACAACTGTGACAACAGTGACAACGTAACCGTGACAACAGTGACAACGGTGACAACAGTGACAACAGCTACAAGGGTGACAACAATCACAACGGTGACAACAGTGACAACGGTGACAATGGTGAAAACGGCGACAACAGTGACAACGGTGACAATGGTGAGAACGGTGACAACGGTAACAACGGTGACAAAGATGACAAGAGTGACAACAGTGACAACTGTGACAACGGTGACAACAGTGAGAACGGTGAAAAGAGTAAAAACAGTGACAATGGTGACAACAGTGAGAGTGGTGACAATGGTGACAACCGTGACATTTGTGAAAACGGTGAGAACAGTGACAACAGTGGATATACAGTTACAACGGTGAGAATGGTGACAACAGTGATAACGGTGACAACACTGTCGACAATGTCAAGGATGAAAACGGTGACAACGGTGACAACAGTGAAAAGAGGTGAGATCGGTGACAACGGGTGAGAACGGTGACAATGCTGACAACAGTGACAACGGTTAAAACGGTGACAACGGTGACAACAGTTACAACGGTGACAACGGTGACAACGGTGAGAACGGTGACAACGGTGACGACAGTGACAACGGTGACATTGGTGACAACGGTGACACTTGTGACAACGGTGACAACTGTGACAACACTGACAACACTGACAATGTTGACAACAGCGACAACGGTGACAACAGTGACATTAGGGACAACGGTGACAACAGTTACAACAGTGACAACGGTTACAACAGTGACAACAGTGACAATGGTGACAACAGTGACAACAGTGACAACAATGGCAATGGTGACAACGGTGATGACAGTGACAACAGTGACAAAAGTGACACAGTGACAACAGTGACAACAGTGACAACATTGACAACGGTGACAACAGTGACAACAGTGACAATGGTGACAACGATGACGACGGTGACAACGGTAACAACTGTGTCAATAGTGACAACGGTGACAACGGTGAAAACAGTGACAAGAGGTGAGAACGGTGTCAATGGTGACAACGGTGACAATGGTGACAACAGTGACAAGAGGTGACAACGGTGACAACGGGTAAGAATGGTGACAATGGTGACAACAATGACAATGGTTAAAACGGTGACAACAGTGACAACGGTGACAACAGTTACAACAGTGACAAGGATGGCAACGGTTACAACGGTGACACTTGTGACAAAGGTGACAACTGTGACAACACTGACAATGTTAAAAACAGCGACAACGATGAAAACAGTGTCATCAGGGACAACGGTGACAACAGTTACAACGGTGACAACGGTGACAACGGTTACAACAGTGACAACAGTGAAAATGGTGGTAAGAGTGACAACAGTGACAAAAGTGACAATGGTGACAACAGTGGCAATGGTGACAACAGCGACAGCAGTGACAATAGCAACAACAGTGACAACAATGACAATAACAACAACAGTGACAACAATGACAATAGTGAAAACGGTGACAACAGCGATAGTTTGCAAGTGAAGATGGAAGTCAGTTTTTCTTTATCTGAATGTCTGCTAAAACAAACAATTTGTTTATATTCTGAAACTGCAAAGGAAAAGGAAAACGCCAGGTATTGAGGTTGGAAATATTTTGAATGTATAAGAAAACAATATTATCAGATTCAGCCTTCGTATGTTGCAGGAAAATGACATTACAGAATGTTGTCATTACCTCCTCAGCTGTTTGCTGCAGTGATCCAATCTTTCCTTGAGTGACATCAAGAGTTCTACCTACCAAACAAAAGTTAAAGTACTTTTTATTTTGGAAGGTAGAAAACAGTTGCAACCTGTACATTGTGGAAGTTTGCTTAAAAAATGAAAAAAAAAAAAACAAAGAAAGAAAAATAGGTTTGTATATTGACTGCGGTAGTTGTAACCCTTTATAGTGGCCACCTGGGAACAGTACAAGGGTAAGGGGCTGTTTTGAGGAGGTGGGGGTTAAAAGTGACACTAGTCTTCAGAGGATTAGGTAGCTTATGTTTAGTTTTAAGAAAACTAGTAGAGGACTAAATAGAGGATTAAAACGTGTAACTGTTTGAAGATGACATCACAAGGGTAGCACTTTTTCTTCAGTTATTTCAAGACCCTGAGTGTTGGTCGAGCCAGGGTTAGAACCAGTGACCCAGTCTCGCTTGGAAGTAGCTGACGCTAATCCAACTGAGCTTAAAAGAAAACACCAGGTGGAGGCTGCATACCACGCACCTCCACCCAAATTGTCAGGAGTACTGACACCCAGGGATTTAACTTTGATTAAATTCTACCTGTGGAATTAGGAAAGGTTTGATGGGGGAAAGGGTATTAGAGATAGCCTATTCACTGACCCTCTATTTTCTCTTTAGAGAACGTTAAGCATGTGTATGAAAATGGCTCATCAATTTTCGGAAAGAAAAAGAACACAACGTCTGTGTACAAGCTATTAGGGACCTTAAGCATCGACGACGAAATGGGACGACGACGCCAACCGGAAGTGAAATTTTCCCGCGCGAACCTTCTGGGCATGCGTTAGGTTGTCAAAACGTCGTCCAGCCTTCGTCGACGACTGAATCTGAGGAAATTTTCGCTCTGGTGAAAACGTAAGTAAACAACTAAACTTTTTCATGCTGATAATCATCTGTTTCCACCTTTTGTTATAACGATTGTTTGATGTATTATTTGCGAACCAGCGGAAGTCAAATGTTTAACAGTTTAGCTTTTTTTAACAGACTAAAATGACTTTCTTTCAGAAGCATCCGAAACCATGGCCGGCCACATTTCTACAGCCGAGCAAGAACTCGTTCAAAAGAAATGTAAGTTTTTCTGTACTGATCTCTTTAAGGAGAATTTTGGGATATTTGAAGTCATGTTCTTCTTATTTTAGACCTGCATGTCATTGTGCTAATTTTAAGTTGCACTTCAAGATATAAATCTTCAGTTTTGCTTTAAAAATATATTTTTTCGTGTTCTTTTGACAGCGAGTAAGTCCAGGTATTTTGTTTGGACGGAAGACCATGATGTCTTGATGCTTCGCGAAGCTGTAACGAGCGAACCTTACAATTTTAAACCGAAAAGCACCGAGAGAGGGAAAGTATGGGAAAGCATCGCAGCCTATTTGAATTCTCTGAAGACTCCAGAATTCAGGGTTACAGCAAGGGCAGTGAGAGATCGATATGCACTCCTGATCTCCCGGCACAAACTAAAGCAAAGAGAAGAAGAGAAAGCCTCTGGGATCGATGTCCCCGAGCTCACAGAGCTTGATGCCTTGCTGGAGGAAATTCGAGAGCGAGAGAAAAGCGCAGAAGAAAAGAGTGACGCCCTGAGAAACGAGAGGAAGGCAAAAGAGCAGCATTGGGGGGCACTTGGGTCACCATTGTTCTAGCAACCTTCTGATTGGTGGAGAGGGGTAATCGAAAGGAAATCGGAAATATCTTAAAACGAGGCTCGGGTCATCGTCGGAAGGCGTCGGGTATCATCGGAGGTACTCGGCAAGCGTCGGAAATCATCGGAAGGGATGACGTCATGAGCCGGAAACGGAAGTAGCATAAAGGAAGGACATTTGAGTTGTTATTATACGATAGTCAAACGTGAACTTATATGTGTAATCGGTTTGGTCAAGACAGCCATGTGGGAGAGATAAGAGTCCCTACTCAGTGCGCAGACGCAAAGCAGAACGCAGGCGCAGTCATGAATTTGAAGAAAAAACGTTCTAAAACGTTGCGGAAAAGGGAAAATAATTATAGCAAATCATTTGTATGAAGTTGTCGAAGGGCTTTTAGCTAAATAGGAGAGCGTTCGCTTTGCAGGTGAAAGATTCAAGGATCTAAAGTGAAATAGGTCAAAGGTAATTAAATATTTAAAAACCAGTCAAGGGAATTAGTCATGACGTTAAGTCTCAAAGAGCCGTGTGTATTTCCTTTCTTGCTGACAATTAGAAGTGAAAAAAACATCCACTGTTGGAACATTTGGTGTAAAATAAAAAACGATTATATGTCTCTTCGTTTATTTAAACCTGCATGCTGAAATTGTTTGCGTGCAGGCAAAAAGGTTGTGTAATAGTCACTGACGTCAAACAAGATGGCCGACTAATCCTTTAGATAAAGGAAGGATTAATAAGGGAAAAATTAAATTGGCCACGGGTTTTCCAGGCGAAAACAATATTCAGCGCTGGCAAAACGGTCCTTGAAAACGAAAAAAAGTCACGTAGTTAAAAATGCGGGTAAATAAAATAGTAAAAGAAAATAAAACCAAACGCGTAAAAGGGTAGAAACGTGATTTCAGTAAGAAACGTGCTTACAGCAAGATTGCGAAATGTAGTAGCGTAACATGTGCTCTATTCAAATGTAGGGTGGGTTGAAATCTCAATTACTAATCGGAAAAGAGAAAGACTCAGGGGAGACGAGCAGAACCAATGAAAGAAGTTATGACTTTAAAATGTATAGAGAGCGACGCTAAAATCGAAGCATAATTTCGCTTAACCCAGTGATCGAAGTGTTGCTGAAGGTGGTTCGCTCGACAAGTTTTAGTGTTCTCTCTCTGTACAATTCAGTTCTAATGGCGTATTTTTCTCCACTTAAACCTCTCCATCCACATTTACGAAATCCTGTTTCCCTACAAGAATTAGCAGCGGCGGCCGTGCCAAATCCTGGGGAAACAGCCCGTACATTCCTGCCCCCGTGTCATACGGTTCGCAAACAGCTGGAAGAACAAGAATACCAAGCCATGCGAGCTGAATTTCAGAAAGAACACGCCAAAAATTTCAGGTATGTATTGAAAAGGTATCATAGAATGTGAAGGAAAGAAAGACGCTAAAAGAAATTGCATTCCGTTTTGCTTTGTAGAGAAACCTTGATGCAAGTAGAATGGTTGCCGTATTTGGACGCATCTCTTTCTATATTTCGATTTTATATGTTTGTTGAAAGAAACGTTTTTATTGATGTGGATATGCTACGAGATTTAGATTTACCACTTTCCGTCAAAGTGGACTTTTTGAATTTTTCGTTTGCATTAGGATTACTGTAATTCTAAGTAGTAGTCTTAGTGTAGTCTTAATGTAGTCTCGCATGATTCTTAAAATGGTGTTAATCAACAAGTGAAAGTTGCACGCAATAATCATTCGGTTTTGTGTTTTATATCTTGTAGACGAATTTTTTTGAAAATCAGGCTTTTGCGGCAATGCCCATAGCCTTTAGTGACTTTAATAGAGCCTTTCCAGATATTCCTGAAAACCATTTATTTATTGTAATGAACCACTGATTCTGATATGCATTTATATATTTCTAGAAAAGTATTTGAACAGTTTGTCTCCCGAAAAGAATGCTGGTATACAGGATGGCTAAACACAAGCGATACGGAATTTTGCAGTCATTGTCTCAGAATTTTAAACTATAGGTTAACCTTAGATGAATTACATAGTGTTGGATTCTGGAATTATGTAAATGCAACAATTGAAAGTCAGTGGTTGATGAGACAAAAATGTATATCGTTGTATTTTAAGTTATTTCAAGATTTTGTTGAATTGGGCGGAGAACTCTAGGTGTCTCCACATGTCCCACTTTGTAAATAGGTTTAAAATAAAAAAAGAAGTAGAGGACAATGGCTTGTGAGTTATTGACTGGAAAAAGAGGGAAACAAATAAATGTAGAGGGTTTAAAACGCAAATAATGTAGAAACCATTAACGTGAAACAAGATGGTGGGTTAATGAGGGAAAACAAAGGTTCTTAATCCCTGAAAGGATGGTGGCTTAAACTTTAAAATCACTGAATAGAAAGCAAAAGGTCTCGTGATGAAAAAAGAAAAAAGACTTAGAAAAAGAAGTAGAAGCAAAAACAAGAAATAAATGATGAAAATGGTTAGACAAAGCAGTAGAAGGGAAAAACATGATGAAATAAATGTTTAAAACCCAAAACGTGCACTCTATCTTGGCAGTGACGTCAAACAAGATGGCGGGTTAATGAACGAAACAATACCAAGATGGCCGTATGAAATGTAGGGTGAAAGACTCCACGGAGACGAGCAGAACCAATGAAAGAAGTTATTACTTTAAAATGTATAGAGAGCGATGCTAAAATCGAAGCATAATTTCGCTTAACCCAGTGATCGAAGTGTTTGCTGAAGGTTGCACCTCGAAGGCTTGTTTTTGGGTCTACTAAGTCTTTGTATTTCATTGCTTCGTTAGCAAAAACAGAACAGCAGAGCGAGTCTTGCCATTTGCTCTATGCAAATGCACGGGCGGGTCAAAGACGCTAGGGAATAGTCCAAACCAATCGAGACTAACAAACTCGCTGGGGAAGCCAAAAGAACCAATGAAATAGTGAAGTAAGGGTGAAGAAAAGTAAAACGAGCATAAAATAAGCATCAATTCGCTTGACGCTTGTTAGCCAAAGTGTTAAACAGTTCTACCTTCAAAGGTTTTTAATAGTTTTACGATCAAAATGTCTTTTCGTCCACTCATTCCACTACCCAAGCCAGACGTACAGAAACAACAACAAGTTAAATCATTGCAGCAGTTAGCATTGTTGGCGGTAAACAATCCGGGTGAAGCCGCCCGGGAAAACCTACCACCTTGCCACAGTGTGCGAATCCAACTCGAAGCACGTGAATTTGAAGAGGCGAGACATGAAAGCAAAAGAGAACACGAAAAGAAATTCCGGTAGGGCATGAAAAAAATTCAAGTTGAATTAGTTTTTGTGTTTCCGAACCACGCGGTAGCTCTTTTAGAATCAAAGGTCGTATAGAAGTACACTAAAACAAGCTAGTTTGCGATGTTTGAATCTATGTTAAGTAAGGATGTTGTGTTTTCTTCTTATAGACAAACGCTGCGTGATCTTAGACGTCTTCCCCTCTGCCCCTACACAGATTGGGTCTTCAACGACGTTCACTGCCATTGTAATATGCGTTTGGGAACTCTAAGATTATTAATAGACGATTTCATAAATTTTATGAATTATCGCGAATTTAATCCTGTCAGAGCATTGTACAATTTTGAACAAGTGTACAGAAATGTTCCGTTTGCCGGGTTCTTATTGTTCCCCAACATCACCGAGGAAGATTTAGCAGAAAATCAGTGACGAGAACGAGAGCAGTGTTGTAATGGAGTAATGTAGGAATAAAAGAATTGTAAAAAGAACAGTGAAAAGTGATTGACTTGGGAAAAGGGTAAACAGTATGAAAAATAATTGTTGTTGGGGAAAGCAGGAAAAAGTGCGAAAACAACATGAACTTAAATGTTGTCTTGTAAAGCGAGAAAACAGAGAAAATAAAAAACAAAACCAAAAACAAAAGCAAAAGGGAGCTAGGAAAAAACGTGCAGTCCAACATGCGTTCAGTTCGTGGATTAATTACCTAAACAATACCAAGATGACGCTTAATCCCCTAAATGGAAAACAAGATGGTCACTTAATCACTTAATAGAAAGCAAGATTTTGACTTAATCCCTTAAAACCGAAACCATGCACGGAAAATATAAAAATATAAAAACAAAACTTAAAGCGGAAGCGAAAAACAAACATGAAAGCTTTAGAGAAAGAAATGTTCGAATGTAAAACCAAAACGTGCAGTCGTTCATTCAGTCAAACAAGATGGCTGGTTAATGAACGAAACAATACCAAGATGGCCGCTTTATCCCTGAAAGGAAAGGCAAAAGGTCCCAAGTTGAAATAAACGTGAGTTGAAAGGACACACATGGCTTAAAACGTGGGAAAAAAAGAAACGTGCAACGTTGCATGTTTCACCAAGTCTTTAGGGAAAACAAATTTCGTCATACAATCAGCCTAGCTCAGCGAAATCTACTTCGATTGACGTCAATGGAATACGCTAGGGCGAGTTTGTATACAAATTCAGCGCAAAGGTCGAAACCTTGCCCGCATATATTTGTGCCAAGTAAGTGATAAGACTTCATTCAGCCACATCAATTGCCGAGTGTGTGTCAGAAGCGAGCTTATTGAAGACAGAATGGAAAACAATAATCAAGCCATAGATAGTCAAATCCAAGGTAAGTAATCGCTCTTAACGAAAAAAAAAAAAAAAACTAGAGACGTTGATTTAAAAAAAAGGTCGTGGCCATTACAATAAGTATTGGAAGGCAATGATGAAATGGTGGACAGTGACATTAAAGATAAGACTAAGGAGGGTTTTGAAAGGTGTTACGAGTGGCGGGTCTTTTATTCTAGAGTAAACTAAATAAATAAATAACCCGAAGGGAGCCGAAGGTAGCGGACATAGCCGAAGGCAACCGAAGGTACCCTAAGACTTCGGAATGAACCCAAAGGCAGCCAAAGGTAACGAACATAGCCGAAGGCAACCGAAAGTACCCTAAGACCTCGAAATGAACCCGAAGGCAGCCGAAGGTAACGAACATAGCCGAAAATGGTCGAAGGTACCGTAAGACCTCGGAAAGAACCCGAAGGGAGACGAATGATCCCGACGACCTAAAAAGAACCGGAAGTTAGTGAAATGAACCGCAAGTAAGCGAAAATAACTCTCGTTTCTATTGTTTATAGATTTAATGGACTCCCAGGACAATGAATTATTCTTAGCCGCCTCTCGCCGCTACGAGCAACAGGGTGGGAACCCTATCTTTCGGGCCATCTTTACCCAAGCAGGCAGAAACCGCTCGTTTCGCGGAATAGTGCATCAAAAGAAGTTTCGCCTAACATTTCTTCAACTTCGAACCCCAGAAGAAAACGAACCACTCGGCGAAGCTTTAACAGAAGCGATTCGCCAAGGACTGCAGCAAGTCGTCCAGGCAGAAAACATCAATCCTGCCCAATATTCGCTGCTTGTTGCCATCCATTCCAATTCCATCAGCAACATATGGGCCCAGTCCGCCAGAAACGTACCCTTGAATGAATGGTTAAACAATCAGGAATATGCCAGAGCTTATTTGGAACAGCTAGCCAGAAAATTGAATTCTGCTCAAATGATTGACCCCGAAAGAGATGGCTTTTTTGTCGAACTGACTTTTGTCAAAACCTTTGGACAGGGAAGTCGACCTGCAAAGAAAAATCCTGGAAAAATGGCCTGGGAAAAGATGGCAAAAACAAAACGATGCGTCGTTCAAATTAAAAACAACGACGATCTTTGCCTAGGCCGCGCCATCGTGACCATGAAGGAGCGTTGTGACGGTGGCTCCCAATACCAAAATCTGAGAAAAGGAAAACGCATCCAAGAACGTTTGGCTCGGCGGTTACATCAAGAAGCGGGCGTTCCAGAGGGCCCCTGTGGGTTCGAAGAACTTCAAGCATTCCAAGACCATCTAGGCCCACAGGGCTACCAACTCATCGTAGTAGAGCCAAGTAAATGTCTCATTGTGTTTAAGGACCCCACATACAATGAGGCACCCCATTGGATTGGTTTAGTAAAGTACCAAGGGCATTATGACGGCTTAACCAGCATCCCAGCCCTTCTTAACAGAAGTTATTATTGCCGCCATTGTGACCAAGGCTACAATACACAGGACGCCCAACATCACAATTGCGAAGGCCAGAACTGTGATGCATGTTGCCATACCAATAATAGCTGCCCCAATTTCGCCACCTGGGTGAAGCCCAGCGTGTATTGTCCTGATTGTAATGGTTGGTTTTACGGTCAAGATTGTTTTCAGGCCCATAAAGCCAAAACCAAGAAAAAAAGGGAAAAAAGCATCTGCGAAACGTGGAAAACCTGCCACCTATGTTGCGCGGGGTACGCTGTAAACCCCAAAAAACCGCATAAATGCTTCCATGTGGTTTGTAGAAACTGTGGAGAGTTTCAGCATGTAAACCATCGATGTTATATCCAGCCCATCCGAGAAAAGAAACAGCAACAACAAACCTTAGAAGTAGAAGAAGAAGAAGACCTGTTAGAAGAATCCCTTGCAGAGGACGACAATGAAAACAATGACAAGAAAGGACCGCCCCCCAAACCCCTGCTAGTCTTTGCGGACATTGAATGTAGTTTAGACGCAGACCGAGTCTTTACCCCTAATTTAATTTGCTGGTCCGCCGAAGATGAAGACGAAATCCACCATACTGAGTCCATGACCGACTTCCGGAGGCTTTAGAGGATCTTACCCATGTAGAAGACGACGAACGGGAACGCAAAGTGATCACATTTTTCCATAATCTCCGTGGGTTTGACGGGAACTTCATTTTAGAAACATTGTACGATCAAGGACGCGCCGTGGAGAGACCGCTGACCCAAGGTGCCAAAATCCTATACTTTGAAACCGGCGATCTGGTGTTTAAAGATTCATTAAATTTCTTCGCTATGCCTTTGGAACGCTTTCCAGCCACATTTCATTTAACCGAGTTACATAAAGGTTATTTTCCTCATGCTTTTAATCGTGAAGAAAATTTCAATTACGTTGGCGAGTACCCACCCATGGATGCTTATGATCCTGATAGCTTCGATAGCAAGAAACGAGATGCCTTTAAAACGTGGTACAATGAAAAAGTAGCCTCAAATGCAATCTTTAATTTCCAAGAGGAACTGTTGGCCTATTGCAAATCGGATGTCCAATTGCTCAAGGAAGGAAGTTTAAAATTTATTCAAGAATTTGAAGAAATCGCCGGGTTTAATCCCCTCGCTACGTCTATTACCATTGCCTCCGCCTGCAANTGCTTATGATCCTGATAGCTTCGATAGCAAGAAACGAGATGCCTTTAAAACGTGGTACAATGAAAAAGTAGCCTCAAATGCAATCTTTAATTTCCAAGAGGAACTGTTGGCCTATTGCAAATCGGATGTCCAATTGCTCAAGGAAGGAAGTTTAAAATTTATTCAAGAATTTGAAGAAATCGCCGGGTTTAATCCCCTCATCACGTCTATTACCATTGCCTCCGCCTGCAACCATTTCTGGAGAAAAGAAAAGTTGGAAGAAGATTTAATTGCTTTGGAACCTGCAGGCGGATGGCATGGTAACCATATAAATCAAAGCAGCATTGCCCTGGAATGGTTGTACTGGCAGGACTTCCAGCGTGGAGGAATGGGGCGTGTCCGCCACGTGCGGAATGGTGGCGAGGTCCAGGTGTTGACCCCTGCTCAAAGTTATTATGTGGATGGGTTTGACCAACAGACAAATACCGTATTCGAATTTTACGGATGCTATTTTCACGGCTGTCCGCGTTGTTTTAAGAAAGAACGAAATGTAAGAAGAAATTGCCATCGTGATCGCACCGTGGAAGAAGTCTATCAAGCCACCTTAAAAAAAGCCGCCATGTTGAGAGAAGCCGGTTATACAGTCATAGAAGAATGGGAATGTCATTACAAACAAGAAAAGAAAACAAATGTGGAATTGCAAGCCTTTTTGAACGAACTGGAAATGGTCGAACCCATCAACCCAAGAGATGCTTTTTATGGGGGACGAACAGGGGCGGTGTCTCTCCATTGCAAAGCTGCCTCGCCAGATCTCATTAAATATGCTGACGTCATTTCTCTTTACCCATTTGTGAACAAATACAAAGAATACCCTGTCAGATTTCCTATCATTTATACATCACCATCAGATCAGGACATTACTCATTATTTTGGCATCGCGAAAATTGACATTCTTCCGCCTCAGTTTCTCTACCACCCGGTATTACCCTATCGAGCAGGGGGTAAATTGACCTTTCCATTGTGTGCTGCCTGTGTGCACGAACAGCAGCAAAAACCATGGCTGGACAGAACGAACATGTGTGCCCATACTGATAACGAAAGAATGCTGCGTGGTACATGGGCCACCATCGAAATCCAAAAAGCTGTGGAACTAGGATACCATGTTTTAAAGATCCACGAAGTGTGGCATTTTCAAGAACAAGATCGACGAACTGGTCTGTTTGCCGACTATGTCAACACTTGGCTTAAGATCAAGCAAGAGTCAGCGGGCTGGCCAGATGACTGTCGCACCTCAGAAGACAAGCAGAATTACATCAGACGGTACCAGGAGCGGGAAGGGATCACCCTTGAAAACGTCGCCAAAAACCCGGGAAGGAAACAAGTGGCCAAAATGATGCTCAACTCGTGAGTGTTTGTTTATGTTTACAATAACTTAACATGCAGTAAAAGTCTGCATTTTAACCTTGTTAGTGGCAGGAAAAGTCTGCATTTAAGAAACACCGTGTTGAAAGAAAGTACAAACACTCTTTGACCTAAAAACTTAAGGGAAATGTATGAAAACAATGCAGAAAAAGTCTGCATTTTAACGTTGTTATTTGCAGGAAAAGTCTGCCATTTAAGAACACCTCTAATATGTTTTATGTTCTTTTCTACCAGCTTTTGGGGAAAATTTGGCGAACGAAATAATAAACCCAGTACGCATGTCATTCAGTCTGCCCATGGTCTCTACAGCCTTTTGAAAGACCCCAGTTACCACATCAGCAACATACGCGTGTGTTCAGAAGACGTGTTGGAGGTCGTGACTACCCGTGCAGAGGAACAAGTGGAACAGAATCTGAAAACCAACATCTTTGTGGCCGTCTACACCACCGCCCATGCTCGCCTGACCCTGTATTCAGCCTTAGAAACCCTTCAGCAACGTGTCCTTTATTATGACACGGACTCCGTGATTTACAAATGGCGCCCCGGTCAAGTAGAAATTCCCTTAGGTGTTTTTTTAGGAGATTTTACAGACGAAACGGACGGAGATCCCATCATAGAATTTGCTAGTGGGGGAGCCAAAAACTATGGGTATGAAACCAGGGGAGGGAAAGTTGAATGTAAAGTCAGAGGGTTTTCTCTGAACTACAGAAATAAGTTGCTTTTGAATTTTTATGCTTTACGTGATAACATTTTAAAAGAGTTGGATGACCCTC